AAAATGTAGAGTTCAGAAATTCAAATGTAGTAAAGGCTTTACATTTAAGTCAAGACACAAAAGTTGAACTTGAATGCTAAGCCAGAAGAAAAAATGTAAAGGAAAGGTCTCCATGTTTGAACAGATGAATAATCACTTCAGAAAGGATATTATCAGTGAAGCTATATTCTACAAGGAGTGAAACATAAAAGGTAACCAGAAGGAGCTATATCTTGGAGGGCTGAAAGCCCTGATCTCCAAGCTATATATTTATTTTTTTCAGGTATGCTCTTAAGCAAAATATTCACCCCATACTTCTAGGCATCTTGCTTTCTCCTTCTGTTTTCAGGCCATTTCAGGAACCAACTTTTTTTTTTTTTTTTTTCCCTTCTGAGTCCTGTCTTCAAAGATGAAAGGGCAAAAATCTCTTCCTTCTTTCTCCAAACTGAGGTTCCTTCTACAAAATCTAAAACAAAAATCATATTTGGTGGTTATTCTTTGCACAAGTCTTCTTGTCACTATCTGAAATCTCTGCAAAGCATTGTCAAAGCATGACCTTTACTTGTTCAATGTCCAGTTTCATCTGAAATGAAAAATCAGAGTGAAATATAATAAAGAATGGGATAGCTTTCATATCAGATAGACTAATAAATTTTTTTCATTGTGATTTGTCAATACATTAAGTATTTGGATAACCTGTTGTAACAATGCAATCTCTGTTTCGAATTTTGACTGTGCAAAGAATTATTTTCCTCTGTCAATGTTTTACTCTGTCATCAATTTAAGTTAAAGAGAGTTTTGTCATTGACTTCATTAAAGGCAGAATATCCCTTAACAACAATGCTATTTTTTTGCTTACCATAATGCTGATTTTTTGCTTATTGTTTTGCTTTTTAAGCACAAAGACCACAATTATTACTCCCGGCACTGTGAAACTAGGACAGTTTCAGAGAGTGAGATGGTTTCTACTCTGGGTCATAAAAAAATTAATAATGATAATGACTTGTTCTCAGTCACATGACCAAATTTTGTAAAACTTCTGAAATGACATACAATCCATAAGTGAGAGCAAAAAACAACCAAGGACAGTGTTTATCCTCATGCTTTATTCCTATTATTCGACTTATATCATGTGGTATTTTAAAAATAATACCTTGTTAAGCGAAATGCTGTTTTTTCCCTAACCTCAACATACTTTAAGAAGGCATTACTATTTCAAAATAATCCCCCAATATGCCAACAGTATTTCTTCTAAAGGATATAACCTTTAAAATATTTTCTCCACCTCTTCACCATCTTTTGACCATCTCTACAAGGAGAAAGGTTTTTTTTTTTTTTTTTTTTTTTTTTTTTTACAGCTCAGCCTAACAGATTTATTGAATAGCAGTGAAGTAATATATCTCATACTCTCAAGTGAAGTAGTGCAGTGTTCTAGGGCACTAGGGATTACACTATTAGGAAGCCAAGTGGAACCAGATTTTATGCTTCTCATCTTTAGTCCATGCTTAAGAAATAATTGTTTTTCAGTTGACACAGGTATCTTTCCTTCCAGATAAGGGCAAGAAAGATCAGTCAGCCAGGCCATATAATAGAATGTCCTGCCCCCACCAAAAAAAAAATAGAGAGGCAGGTGCAAGTAATTTTTAATTAAAAGGCTACTTGGCTGTGCTTTTGATGTTCTGCTGTGTATTTAATTAAGTCTCAAGCCTGCTGCCTCTGTGACAATCCCTCGTTCTCTCTGGGATCATTTACTGTTCACAGGAGCAGTTACTCCATGTAGAACTATGCCTTTTTTTCTTCCCTTTTTTTTCCCTATGCATTCTTCCTCATTTCCACTGTCTAACTCATTTCCACTGTTGCTTAAAAAGGGCTTAGGAACCCCTGGAAAACATCTGTCTTGATCCAATATTTGAATTTGGAATTGAATTTTGGAAATCCAAAAATAGTAAGGGGGATGAGGCTTTAGAAAAGAAGTGCTTAGAGAAGTTGTCCTGTGAAGATGTTCTCATATAACCTGTTGCTGGTACAGTCTGAAAGGAAATACCTAAAGCAACAGCAAGTATTTAGGTCTTTTTGGGAGGCCCCTTGAATACAGATAACAAATGACAGTACCACTTTTCGTTATATACTTAGCCCCCGTGAAAAGTCTAATCTAGTGCAAATTGGCTGAGTAAGTCCTAGATCAGACCTGTTCTTCTGAAGCAGAAGCTTGTGGATGGAAAACAGTTTTCACAAAAGTATGCTGTTCCTTTTTTCATCTTGTTCTTTGGTTTTCATCCTTATGGCCAGGAGCATTTCCTTCCTATGTAAAGATAAAATATTTTCTCTTTCCTATATGGTTTATTTCTTATACAACACTTTCTTGTTCCTTATTTTTACTGACCATACTGCTTCTCTTACTTGATAATAGCACAAGATTGAAGACTTTTATCACTCAACACAGCATTTAGGCTAAAATCCTAGCTAAACCTTTGGTCCCACATTTCTTTAAATCCAGGATACAAGAAAAGGAAGTGACCTCAGTGAATGGCAAGACAGATACAGATGCACAGATGGACAGGTACAGGTACACACGGTGTCAGTCAATTGAAGTCGCTGACTTTTTTTTTCGAAAGAATGTCCTTGAATATACCTTTGTTTTCAGAACATCCTGCAGCTCATCATTTCCTCATAATTATTCCTAATAATAATTCCCAATAATTTCCTAATTTCCCCCTTGTAATGGCATGTAGTGGTCTTTTTGATGGCTTAGTCAGGGTCTAGCTCTACCTGCTGAAGCTAGTGGAAAAACTCTCTTTGACTGAACTGGTGCTGGGCTGTGTCTCGACAATGAACTACTAGATTTGGTAAGCTTTAAGAAAACAAAAGATACAACAAGAGTAATCAAGAGCAAAATCCTCTTTAACCAGACTTTAGCCTGTCTTCATACAGTCTAACAAGAACACTAGTTTCCATGGTTTTTGCTTTTCTGCTTTTCTGCTAGCAGTGAACTGATGCTAAAGAACACACCTTGGTATGAGACAAGCCCTTCTCTCTTCCATTTGCTCCCAGAGGCATCCCTGCCTTTCTGCCTAACCCTCCTAGTAAGGGGGCTGCTAGAGCATTTGCATTTGTCTCTGCAGGTTTTTATAAAGACACATATAGAATAAAAAAGGGAAACGGCTTGTAACAGAAGTAGGTGCTACCATTATAGTAATCGTGTCATAAATAAGTTCTCCTTGTTTATATAATTCCTATAGTAGTAGTTTACTGGTTTATGCTGGCACAAGAAATGGAATTGCCAGGAGAGCATGAAGTCTCATTTCCCAAACTGTACCTAATTCGCACAGTTCAAAACCAAAATGTGGATACAGCAGATTAGCTATGTGCAGAACAGTAAGGAAGGACAGACATAAGTGATGCTTCTAGGTGTAACTGAGAGCAAGTGACTCTGGACTCTCTGAAGGTACTCTGGAGATCTCATTCCATTTTTTTAAAGCAGTTATCAGCTTATAGCTGGACAGCTCTACTACTTGTCTTTAAAGAGGAAATCTTTAATGCTTTTGCTATTGACTCTTCTTGAGAAATACCATATTTGACGGTACTGGTTCAAAATCAGCAATATCCCAGGGGTTATGCAGTTTATGAGAGAAAAATATTTAAAAATCTCTCCTTATGTTCTTTTACCTCAAGGAATGTTAGCAATATGGATCTTTTTATGATATGAGACAGCTTTTGAGAGTTAAAGTGGAGAAACAATGGAAAGATCTGGAGATGTCATCATGAGGTGGGAGATTGCATCATCAGAAAAGGGAATTCATGGGGAAGACTTAGTTTACCCTGTTGTCTGATAATAGACATCTCCAGGTCAGCTTTAAAAGAAAGCACTAGTGACATGGTAACAACAAAAGAAAGGATTCAAGTCAGCCTGCAAGACTTGTGCCATTTGAAAGTTTGAATGAAGAGTTAGGTTACTTGTCTGAACTGAGATTTCGGATGATACCAGTGATGCCGTCAGTTTCTGATGTGGATAATTCAAAGCAAGTCCTGCTATATTTATTAGCTACACCGTTAGATGATCAGCTTAGCCTTTGAGAGAGACACAGGGGAAACAGAAGAGGCAATGCAACGTGAAGGAAAAATGTGGCATTTTAAGTTCAAGCTCTTTGTCCCACAAATGCTGCATCTTTCCACATGTGGGATATCATCAAAGTGAAAGCCAAATGCCAAGTGATTAAGTAGACTGAGATTCCAGTTTCATTTCGCATCATGGGAAGCTATGCTCAAGGGTTGAAAGCCCTTTAAACAGTGCAGCGTTTCCTTTCCCCTGTTTACAGCTTGGGGCACAGGGTTTGTGTTTCAGGATTAGCTGCACAAGTTAATGCTGTGCCTTCCTTTTCTCTCTATTTGTCTGATTATTACTAAATGCAAACTAGCATTTTATATCACTCCTGGTTAATAAAAGTTGTGCTGGCTTATCCTTTGCTAGAATAAATTGTCGTGGCTCTAGGATCTGGCCCTAAGAGTTAGCATGGTATAAAGACATGGCAGAATGAGACAATGCACTTTTATATCTGAAAATACTATAAATAATGGCCTTGAGAATGAACACAGGAATTGTTTACAGCATAGAAACTGTTTAGCTGATAAAATATACATCCTATATATCCTAATAGGAGATTAATACCTCCTCATTCGTGCAATGTGATGAATTTGTTTTGCAATATAAGCTGATTTCTAAAAATAGCTTCATTTACACAGCTTGACTATGCAATGAAGTTAGATTTTAAATATTAGTCTTTTTTTCTTTCCACATAAATCTATATAAAAATAGTGAATACAATATTTGAAACATATCGTTGAAATTATAACACTTAATACTATCAGACCAACATAGCTAACACACCATAGAATCTATTAATAGGCTTGACTCCCTTTTGCAATGTCAACTGTAACATTAATCCTTGTTTTAAGCCACGCTGTCTCAAATATCAGCTGCTACTAGTTGTACAGTTGTCTTTCAGCTTATATCGGAGAGCCCAATGGAGTCTTTTGAAGGACCTAGACGGGTTAGTGGGCATAAATTATTAGAAATCCCTACTGTAAATGATTTCTCTTCAGAAGATGAAGATGTTAAAAGTACCCTTAAACCTCGTTTTTCTCCACTGCCTCGAAGGCGGAGTTCTGCTTCTTCAGAGGAAGAGGAGGCAGACCCCCCTGGTACCATTGCAAGGAAAGTTTCATTTGCTGATGCATTTGGGTTTGATCTTGTGTCTGTTAAAGAGTTTGATACCTGGGAAGTTCCAACTATATCACAAAATGATTACAAGGAAGATGAAGTTTTCCCTGAGGAGGAGTTTTTTTTATCTCAGCTGTTTACACTACCTGCTTCACAAGAAGAACTTTTGCAAAAAGTGCGTGAGCAAAAAGTACTGTTGGAGTCGATTGTGTTCCTGCCTGGGGTTACCTGTATGAATGGTATTATACGAGTCCTCAATATATCTTTTGAAAAAACGGTGTATGTTCGGATGACACTGGATGACTGGCGGAGTTATTATGATATCTTAGCAGAGTTCATGCCCAATTCTTGTGGCAATGAGACTGACCAGTTCTGCTTTAAGATTTCTCTGGTGCCTCCTTACCAGCAAGATGGAGCTAAAGTGGAGTTCTGTATACGGTACGAAACATCAGCCGGCATATTTTGGGCAAACAATGATGACAAAAATTACACGCTTATTTGTCACAGGAAAGAAAATGCAGCCAAGGTGGATAATAAAGCCCACAGAGAAGGTAGTGATAGACATCTTAAAGGCTGCTTAAAGACAACACCAAGCAGGTGAGGTTACATCTTACCTTTTGTTAATTTACAGTATAGCTGACTATTTCTGATTTTCTAACCCTGTCTGCTGAAATTAAGACTTCTCATACTGTTTTCTTCTGCAATTTTTTTTTTTTTTTTTAGTGATAAGCAAGACTTGGTTGTATAACATGCTTGTATGTATCAGACAACTCTTTCCTGCAGACAGGTTCGTCGGGTCTAATATCATTGTTACAAAAATATAGCATCCCTGCCATGCATTTGAAAAGTAATGTGGTTTCTACAAATTGTGGGCTATGTACTGATTTTAGCCTCTGTCACGTGAAGTGTGTTGACATTACTGAGAGGTCTAATGTAAACTGAAATTGCCGTACAGTTAAGTACTGCATTCAGTTCTTTATGTCCTCAAGGTTTTAGAAGCAAAAAAAAAAAAAAAAAGAAAAAGAAAAAAGAGAAAAAGAAATTTCCCATGCTTCATTGCATATGGATGTTCTCTAAATGTGCTTATTAAAACTGAAGCAGTAATGGAGGTTCAGGAAGCCGATAACCCGGCTAAGGATCCTGTTGCGATTAGAATAGCTGGTACAAACTTTTCTGCCACAGGTTGGGCTGTTCTGCAAGCTGGATCTTGGGTAATGCCTCCTTGCTGCCACTGGTGGAGGCACCTGTGATCAGATTGACAACAGCCCTGCCCATCTCCAACAGAAACATGAGCAGTGAAGTGAATAATGATGTGGATGGCAGAACTGGTGGTATTTTAAAGAAAAAAGAAAAGATATATAGAATTTATCTGATAGGTATTATTAGAATAATTAAATGTCAGCAAGTGCTACGCTAATTATAGAGTAAAATGACAATGAATAACTTATAACATAAAGACACAAAATCAGAGAGGCTCAGAAATAGTAACTTTTAGCTTCCTACTCTGTGTTTAACTTTTCTTCGTGTAAGTAAAGCAATGCTGCGCATGAAAATCCCGTTCTCAATATTTTGCTCGTCAGACTTCCTATAAACCAGTAGCAGAATTCAACCATTGCAGAATCAAATTTACATTTTAACTGTAGCATCCATGGCAATATTTCAAGTCCAGAAGTGAATTCATGTGGAACTTCTGGTACATGTCCTCTTCCTCAGCAGAATGGTGCTGTTTTATTTTCCTGCTTTTAGTTGACTGTAGCCTGGTCTCTTGCACTGGCCTGAGTGGATGAGGAAGGGGAAGCAAGGCAGCAGCAGAGGCTGGGAACCTGAGGAGGCTTCACCTGCCAGGTGGTTAAATCCCGACATGCGTGCCTAGTTTTGTACGTTGCATCTGTCCTTCCAGCAGTGTCATGAGAACCAGCCTATGTGAATAAGATGGCCTTGGTGCAGAGAGGCCTTGGTATGAGCTCCCCGTGTGCACAGAGGCTGGGTGCTTCCTGGTGGGATTCAGGGAGCCCCTGTGCGTGGGGTGGATGAGCATACAAAAAAATGGGAAAAGAAGCAACAAGACTACCCTATAACATAAAATTACCTTCCCTCCTATATGAGTGTAAAGTTGTTTCCCTCTACTTCAGGCTGCAGAAAAATATTTATATATATATACATATGTCTGTGTGCATACACACATATATTTGTGGTAGTGTGTATACACACATATGCAAGTATACACACACATATACATATTTGTGCACATACCCACACACATATGTATATTGGTGATAATATCAAAAATAGAGTGGTCTTGTGTCTTAACAGGTGTGTTAAGACCTGTTATACATTTTTGGTAAAAACTAACATTTCTTTCATAACTTTTATAACATAACTTTCAAGACTCTTTTCTAGTGGCAGAAGAATGTAAAGGGACCTGATGGTAAGTGAAAAAATGATCTGGAAGTATTTTTGGAATATGTTTTCAGTGGCCACCATAGCTTCTAAAAGGAAGCTCTGGAAAGCTGTAATCTAGGACCAGTTTTATGCTACAGGGACTTCACTGACTTCACAGGAGTTACAACTTTCACCAGTGTAAATGAGGCTGACTTCATTTTCAGCATCAGGGCCTCCCGTTTCAAAAGAGCTAAGATGCCAGCCTCCGTCGCTCGCTTGTTTTTCAAAGTGTCTTTGTACGTGTTGCCCCTTTGAGTGAGCAGGAACACCCTGCAGACATCTGCAAAAGCACCTCATTATTCTCCTTCAGACCCTCATTAAAACTCCTTTGCTTTGATGTCTAGGAAAAAGCACAACAAAAACAACACCCCCAAAAATTGGCAAAAAGTGAGGCTGTTGATGTGCTATGACTACTTCATGTCATGTTGAAGAGTACTGCCCATTTCCCCACTCTCCTCCACCAGCCCATCCATCTCACATCTCTTGTTCTATGCTCTAATTACAAATGCTGCAGAGTTTATAACCACGACTCTGAGGGTTTGTAGAGCATTTAGCAAAATGGGGTCCTAGGCCATAACTGGGTGCCCTGAAGAGCTGCAGTGATGCGAACATCTACAGAGAAATAATAACAATTTTGCTTGTGATTCAAACAGTAAATATGCAAGGAGGGAGTATTACTATCCATGTCCACAAGCTGGAGGATTTTAATTAAAGATTTTGTTAAAACAATGCAAATGCAAGGATAATTAAAAGGGCACTAAAGGTCTAAATAAAGGCCCTTTTATCCTTAGGCTCAAGTTTAGAAATGTAACTGTTACAACATTTTTCAAAATCTTGTTTCTGTTATGTTTAAATCTGCTCCCACGATAGACAATTTACCTCGTCAGCTGAAAAATAGGACTGTTAAATAATTATATTTTTTAAGCAGATATGGCTCTTGCAATATCATTAGTGAGTATTTGTTGCATTAGTAAAATGAAAGGAATAATAGGTATTTTTGGAGGAAGTCATGGAGGAAGCACAATATGACTGTATCATGTAACCCATGAGGGAATGAGCCAGTACAAAGTTGTGAGAATGAGGGCAATTGGGAGGCAATTGGGAGGCACTGGGAGACATCATTATTTTAAAATAAATTAAAAATTGAATCAATCCTCAAAATTTGCACCTGCAGAAATTGATGAGGAACAGCAAAGCTGTGTGGAATAATTAATGTGGAAGCTCATCTAGATTTGCATGATTGAAACCGTATGAGTTAAAATCCTGCCCATTCTCTCTGTTTCATTTGCTAGTGCTTTTATGTCTAGACATAAAAAAAAGTCTACCAAGCTTTCATACAAGTTTTTGTCTCTAACTGCATTTTTCCAAGCTAAAAATAATTCCAACATGAATTTTAATACAAGTGTTTGCATTTAAAAAATTCTTTAAGGATTCGCCAGCATAAAATATAGTCTGAAAAAAATTATGTTTGAATTAATTGTTTTTTCCTTCTAGCCTACGTGGAAATGTGCATTCAACTTACATATACTCAAAAATATATTTTGGAAAAAAAATGGTTCCAAAAAATTCATAGACTAATCTTGAACTCATATCATTGTCTATGAAACTGGGAATACTTTTTGCTCCATCAGACTGTATGTCAGGCAAATGCCCATAGTAGATAGCAGTAAGTACATTCAGAAAAAAAAAAAAAAGAAAGAAAAGAAAAAAAAAGGAAACAAAAAAAGCAATAGAATTCTATTAATCTATTTTCTTTCTTTTATCCATTTTTTTTGCATTTTTTTTTTGCATTGGGGACATGGATAATGGTTTTGAACACAAATTTCTCCTGGTCCTAAAATCTGTCATGATTTCCTCACTGACCGAGGTTCCAGGCTCCTGCATAGGTCCGATGCAAGGGGCTGGTTTTCTTGCCCTTTCCACAGTTGGCCTATTTTGCCATCTGTTAGCAGAGCAGCATGAGCAGGAACACAAGGAAAGTGTCTGATAGGCTTTCTGATAGTGCTATAGTCCAGTAGTGGTAATTGTTTCTCAGTACTGTAGGACATCTATGTAGACTCCTATCCTCTGACAAGGAAGGTAAAGATCAGCATTTCATCATAACTGTTAGGGAGTTATCACCCACTTACCTGTCTGAGCCCTCAAGTTGTCCCTCTGAATTGTTTCTGGTTCTGTATTTTTTCTAATTTTTTTCATTCTTGGACTGCATCTGTCTTTGAGTGGTTATACATCGATTTACCTGTCTCTGTGGTGCCCGGTTTAAAACAGGACATAAGCTAGGACATTGAATGGTGCTCTGTGTGCAATGCCCATTGAGGAGGAAGAGTGAAAATCCCCCCTCAGTGGGCAACTGATTACAGTTTCAGCAGCATTAAGTACTGAATGGTCTTAAAGAAAAGCTGTTGAGAACATTTTCGTCTGTGCATGAGTAGTGTTGTCCTGATAAAAAGCTGTTTGAGGCTGCTTTCCTGTCCTCAGCTTGGATCTTACCCCGTTTCTGACAGAAGGCAAAGGAAGTGAGTTGCTGAAGGGAGAACCCAGCAGGATTGTCCTGTGTTCATTCGTCCACTGGCAGGTGGTAGACAGGGGCCTCAAGTGCCCTGGCAGCTGTAGTTCTGCATCAGCTCCCTCCCCTTGGCCTTTCCCACAAGCCCATGATGTGATTAGAAAATGATGAACTTCTGAGGACGCTGTCTGGAAATAGCACTGCAAACACTTTGTTAGGAGGAACAACTGCATTATTGCCCGGTAATTCATTTAAAATATGGTCTTTAAATTATGTTCCCTTTTAAGCTTGGTTCTTTCCGTTATTGCACATCATAATTGACAAGAGGAGAAGAAAGCAGAAAAGCTGTTAAACCATACATCATCTTTGTGTTCTGCTATTTAATCTCAAGGTTGTTTCTGGTATCTCAAGTCACAAGTTACACCTTGTATACAGACGTGGGATTTGACTAAAGTTTATTCCTATTCTTAGGAAGTGACCACAGTCACTGTTTTTACCAGGAGAGCAGCTGCGAGGGAAGTTATCCATTCACAGGGAGCCAGATGAAAGCAGCACTCATCTGCAGATCAACCTGACCCAGTATGCCCAGCCCTTTTCTTGCCTCCTCCCTGGCATTGCCAGGCTTTACCAGCTGCAGAAATAGATAGCA